CCATTTTACAGATGAGAAAGGGGAGGCCTAGAGAGGTCCAGCCACTTGTCCAAAGTCACCTAAGTGGTGGAGCCAGAATTTGAACCCAGGTCCAAGTCCAAATGCCAAGTGCTTTCCCACTGCCTGCCCCCTTTTCAGGCCCCTCCCAGGCTGTTGGCTGCTAACCTGAGCTCCTAGGAGCCTGCCGCTGGACACCTTGACCCACTGTGGTTTCTGTGGTATTGGTGTGAGGTCAGGGCCTGCCCTCTGGTGGCAGCTTCCAGAAGTGCATGACTAAGACAGCCATCTGGCCTTTCTGAAGGGCCACCAGGATGTGACCGGTGTGAGGTGGACCCACGCAGCGTCCTCTCCTCCCTCTCCATACGACCTAGCATCTCAATGTTAAAAGTGACATCAGGAGACCCCAGTTTGCTTCCCTTCAGCCTCCAGGGATCTCTGTTCCTCACTGGGAGCTCAAGATGAGTGAGCCTCACAGTTCAGTTCTGAGCCAAGACCTCTGGAACAAAAGTAAAAAAAAAAAAAAAATGCTATCATTTCGAGCATTTACCATATGCCAAACACTGTGCAGTCCTTGGCTGGTGTTCTTTATGTCTTTCGGACCCCTCAGAAGCACCCTGTGAACGAGGCTGTTCTGCCCATCTCACAGATGAGGAAGTTGGGACTCAGCCAGGTCGAATGGCCTGCTCAAGGCCATCCAGCTAGTCAGAGGCCTGGGTGGCTTTTCAGAGCCTGTGCGGCTCACGCATCTGCCCAGCTGTGCCCTGAGAAGTGGCTGAGAGGACCCCCAGTTCCCCGGTGGCCTCTGACTTTCTCCAATTCTTTCTCTTTCTCTTAGATTTTGTGGGCTCTACAGTAAGCTCTGTGTTGCGGCCAGGGGGTGATGTCTCTGGCTGGGGAGTCCTCCCCTGTCCCATCGCTCATTCACAGGGACCCTGAAGGCCAGGATCACAGCCCAGGAATTGACCTGCCCTCAGTGTATCCCATCTCGTGCCCTCTCATCCCTCCAATCAAGCTCCAAGGGAAGACCTCAGTCGGACTGACTTCTCACCTGCTACCCAGCCGCCAGCTCCAGGCTTTGAAGAGAGGTTGGGGTTGGGTGTGGCCTGGGGGAGGGGAGAGGCCCTGCAGACTCCAGAAGGGCCTGATTCTGCCCCTCCCTCAACTGACCTAAGGGAGCCAGATGTCCCTTGGGTGTTTCCTCTTCTCTCCAGCTTGGCCTGGGGGGCCCTGCAGAGTCTCCAGGGGAAGAAGGGACTGTGATTCTGGTTCCCCTGGCTTCCTCAGTTTGGGGGCTGCTGCCTAGCTGTATCCTGGCCTCCTCTGGTCCCTGCCTCCTGCAGAAACTTATTCAAGACACTGCCCAGGGCGACCGGACTCTATCCTACCTTTTTTTTTTTTTTTTTTGCCAATGATGGGTTCCATCAAGTCTTCGCAGAGTTCCAGGTGCCACCAGCCTCCCCAGGGCCGCTCTGTCCCTGCTCCAGCCTGCTCCCAGGTCTCCCAAAGGACTCTGAGCTGCACCAAGGGAGAAAGCACAGGGCCTCCCTGTCAACTGCTAACTGGGGTCCTGTTCTGCCCAGAGTCTGAGAAAAGAGACAGGCTCTGAGGCTGTGAGAGGAGGCGCTCTAACTCTGGGCCGCTGGGGCTGGGAGGTCTCTGGCTAGGGCTGGCCTGGCCCCTCTGCTGGGATGTCTCAACCCTGACTGGACCCTTGACCCCAGCCTGTTTTGTACAGCACAGACTCCTTGGCCCTGTTGTCAGGGTTGGAGGTTGGGGAGGGTGCCAAAGAGTGGGGAGTTAGGGGATGCATCACCCCTCTGCCCCTTCTCATGCCGCCTGACCCTGGGCATCTGCCAAGGGCAGAGACTGTCTTGCCTCTTTGATACTTTTCTGCATAACTTGAACTTGCAGGTCACCTCTAAACAGGGTACCCCCTGTCCCCATACCCAGGCCTTGTAATCCTGTCCCCACCTCTTCCTTCTCTTTGCCAACCTCTCGCCTTGCGACATGCCCAGGGTCTGCGGCCCAGCGGGCAGTGCTTGGAGCCGAGGCATGAGTGTGTGCGTGTGTGTATGAGTGTGTGTGTGTGTGTGTGTGTGTGTGTGTAAGTATGTGTGACGGGGGCAGACGAGGACTCTGGTCTCTCCCTCTCCTCCCACTGTGGGGAGCATCTCCTTCAGCTTGGCAGGGAGCACATAAGGGAGACTCCAAGTGTTTCTGGACTCCCCTCGCTGCTGCGTGGACCTGGCGGTGCAGCCATCTGGCCTGGGGCGTGGGCAGCCCCTTTCCAGCCCTAGTTCTGGTGGCAGGTGGGCTTCCTCCAGTGTGCCTGCTTCTGTCTGCTGGTCCTGGCTGGCCGGCCCCCTGTGGAGGAGGAGTGTGAGGCTCCACCATTTGGTTATGTTGGCCTTAGCCTAAGGAGAGGGGAAAAGCAGTGAGTGCCATGTATTTGCCAACCTTATGTTCATTTCCATCAGATTTGGACTGGAGGGGAGGGTTTCCAAGACAGGCCTTAGAAATCTTCTGCCCGAGGCCCCCCTTTGGACCCTAACTGGGATCAGATGCTGGGTCTTGATCTGGAGCTTCCCAAGTCCTGACCCCTCTCCCCCGCTTCTCACTCCCTCCTCCTGGGCAAACACCTTTCCCCAGTGCTCTGCCCAGCACTGTGCTCCCACTAAGCCCCACACTGCAGCCCCCTCGCTGGCACCTTCCCCAGCAGGCTGCCTGCAGATGGGACTGGACACCAGGGTCCCAGGTGGAATTGGAGGGTGAGGGGAGCCTCGTGGGAGAGAGAGAGTGGGGGGCAGAGCCAAACCAAAGTCCAGTGTTGGAAGGCTGCAAGGGGGGTGGGGCTGGGAGCAAGTGATTAGGAATGGGGAGAAGATAGGTGGGACAAAGAGAGTAAGAGACAGGAGAGGAGAGAGGGAGACGGAGAGGTACAGAGACAGAGCAAGGGGAAGGGGGACCCAGAAAGGTACAGAAATGGAGAAAGGAGAGAGGATGAGAGTGAACAGAGAGGGGCCGTGAGGGACAGAGAACCTGGGATGGGAGAGGGGAGGAGGCTGGAAAGAGGAAAGGAGGAATAGAGACACGGAAGGAGGTAGATGGCGAGAGGAATTGTGGGAAACCAGATGAATGCAGGAAGAAGTGGAAGGGGAAGGAGAGGAAGATGATGGAGGAGACAGGACTCTGAGGAATGGAGGAGCAGCTGCATGTGCAGTGATCATCCACTGCCCCAGGGGCCACCAGACCCGCTTGCCTTGTGGAGAATTTAGAGCCTACCCCCTAAGAGGCCGAGGCCTGCGTTCCAGGCAGCCAAGGGACACGGTCTTCAAGCTGGGGGAACAGCCCACGTGATTGCTGAGCCACTTAGCACCACTGGAGTGGGTTACCGGTAGAGCAGAGGGAGGTTAGCTCCTTCTGGGGTGGTCTGACTGTGTCTTAGTGTCACCGTCCACTCAGCCAGCTGCTGTCTTGACCCAGGAATTTGGGGTTAGGAAAGCAGGGTTGGGTGGGCTGAAGGAACACCAGGGTAACACAGGGAAGGGGAAGAGGTTAGAGCGGGGACCAAACCGTAGCTCTGTCCCCCAGGCTTCAGCAGAGGTGGGAGCAGAACCGGTAACAGATGTGTCAGCCAGGGCCCCAGGGGAAGATGAATTGTGGCCACACCCGAGGCTCAGATGTCTCCTGGGGCAATGAAGCCACCCTGGCTAGAGGTTTGTGCTTTGTTCTTACCTCAGGCATGCGATTGGGCTTTAGCCTCCTGGGAGGAGATGGAAGCAGAGGAGATGTCTCTTGGACTTCAAGTTCCCGAAAGAAGCTGAGCTTTGAGCCAGCCTCCGAGGTGCTCCTCTGATTGTGACTGGATCAGGGAGGTCTGGCACTCCCATTTTCTCTGCCCTGGTCTGGGGACTCCTTCACAATAGGCCAAAGCGGCCACAACCTAGACGTGGTTCAGAGCCCTGGCTGGTCAAGTCCCTCTGGGTCCCCAGGCTGTGAAAACTTTCCTTTTTGGGGACCAGTGCCCATGGAGGAAAACATTGTTTTCCTAAGAGAATGAGGACCACAAGTAGGATCAAGATCCTTTTCATGCCCGGAACAGCCAAGATGTTGGGAGCTATTAGGAGTAGGTAAGGCTGTGGGGGGAAATTCCCTGGCTTTCTTTTGAGATGCCTGCTTGAGCTCAGGGGAATCCCCCTTCTGCAGCTTCCAGTGTGAACTAAGAAAGGGAGACCCTCTCTTTGGAGAAGCTGGGGTATTCCCAGCACGAGAAACTTCCACAGGCCCCTGCCTGGATCAGGGCTAGCCTTTGGGGAGGACTGGAGTTTCCTGAGAAGGGAACGAGGGAGCCACAGTCCTTCCCAGAGCTCTGACCAGCAGACCTCAGAGGGCCTGTGCCATGTGTTGTTAGGATAGCTTGGTGTTGTCTAAACCCCATTAGTAAGTTCTGTCTGAGTGTGTCCATGCTGTTCATTGTCCAATTTGGTAACACTTATTTCGGTCCTGACCCCTTCTGCTGCTGCTGGATTTGAGCTTCAGTGCAGGTGGAATGACGTTCAAATAAAGAAACACTTTATATCACCCATGCTGGCTTCTCCTTTTCTGAGTTGGTCCTCAGGGAATCAAGAGGAGGTGTGATTCAACCTGAGCCTTTTTACCAGGTTTGGCTGTGTATTAACAGGGCTCTACTACTATGACTTAATTATCAGGGATAGTTTATTTCCCCATCACAGGAAGTCTGGAGGTTAGCCAGGCCATGACCCATATGGCCCACAGTGTTATCAGGAACCCAGGCTCCCATCTTTCAGCAGTGCCACTTGCAATCCTGGCTTCCATCCTCCAGGATACCTTATGGCCCAAGATGGCTGCTGGACTTTTAGTCACTGGGTTCACATTTCATAGAAAGGACACTTCTGGAAATTTCATAGGACTAACTCACATGGCACACCTAGCTGAAATGTAATCTGTTAACTGGGTACATTTCCACCCCAAATAAAATTAGGTTCTGTTACCAAGGAGAAAGGGGAGACTAGATGGAGTGAGCAGCTGGCAGTCTGTACAGTCCTGATTGCACTGGCATGACCCTGGTCTTAGGACTCTGACTAGAGTGAACAAGGCTCCGTCCTCATTTGCCCTTGTTGCCTTGGACAAGCCCCTTCACCTCTCTCTAAATCCCCATTGAATGATAGAGACTTTAGGGATGTTGTAAGGCACAATGAAGGAATGCATGTGAATTGCTTCAGTGCCTGGCACATTGCTACTTGCCCCATATGTCAGCTACGTTGATTACAATTTTTGCACTTGAAAATTGAGTCTTCAGGCAACACATTTTGAGCACTCAGAATAGACTAAGCACTTAGAACAAAAAGAATCCATGACTTACCGGTGAGTCTGGTTGGGGGATGACATGGAAAAATGTGAAATTTGCAGAGTACCTAAAATTTGGGGGTGCCCTGGGGACAACTTACATGGCTTTTGGTGGGATGGGTAGAGCTGGGGATAGGTTTACTGTAGGATGATTAGAAATAAGGCAGGCATGGGTCAGGAAAGCCATTCATGAAAGAGAAGGCAGCCTGAGGAAAGAGATCGAGGTAAGAGAACTAAATGCTGAACTATCAAGTGTGAGGCAGGGAGGGTCAGAGACTAGGCTGGAGAAATAGGCAAAGGCCAGATGATGACAAAGCTCAGAGGCCATGTACAGGAGTCTGGATGTGAGAGCAACGGGCAACCACGGAATGATTTTAAGCAGGAAAGGGACACAATTAGATTTGCATTTCAGAAAAATCACACTGGTTGCAGTGTTAGGGGCCCGAATTAGAGGGAGACAATTTTAATGAAAGGGAAACCAGAAGTCTAGCCTGAAGCAAGGTGGGTGGCAGTGGATCTGAGAGAGGCGTGAAATTTGATATTCAGGAAGTAGAACTGAGGACAATCGGTAACCAATTGATTGTGCATAAGGGATAGAGTGGCATCAGACGACAGTTAAATTTTTTGCTTGGGAGACAAGAAAATTTGCCAGTATAGCAGGGGAACAAGATGATCAGTTCAATTTGCGATGTGCTAAGTATTAAGATGCACGTGGGGCTGGTGGAGTTGTCCAATTGACTTGTATGTATTTGGGGGCTCAAGAGAAAGAAAGGTCTGGACCAGAAACATAAGCATACAGGTAATGGCTGAAATGTGAAGCATAGGTGAACTTGCTCAGTGTACAGTGTGGAACGGCCATGGAACTATGGAATGCTGGAAAACACCAACATACAAAGGTCAGAGGAACCGATGTCCCAGAGAAGACAATGAAAGAGCTACAAGGAGAACTGCGAGAATGTGGTGTTACAGAAACCAAGCCTCTTGTGCTCAAGGGGAAGGTCAACTAATCTGATGGAGCAGAGAGGTCCATAATTAGGGACTGAATGTGTCCACTGATTTGGGAACAAGAAGGCCACTGTTGTATTTGGTTACGAGCATGTTCAGAGGAGAGTGGAGAGAGCCAAACTGAGGTCTATTCAGGGAGAGAATGGGAGGTGACTGAGTGAGGATCACTTTTTGGAGAAATGTGGTAAGAAGGGGAAGTGAGTGATTGGAATTCATTCAGGGAATATTAAGTATACACAGAGAACCAGCAGTGGACAAGGGTCAGCATGAGATCTAGAGAAGAATGTGGAATCGCTTTCTTTAAATATGGAAGAGTTCTGAATGTTCATAGGTTATGGCCAGTAAAAATATAAAGATAAAGAGAGGATGACTAATAGGAAGTCTCTTTTGTGGAGTAGAGGGAAATGCAAGGTTTAGGGAGCCCTTGCCTGATGGCATCCTTTTTCTCAGTGAAGCAAGAGGCAACATTTTGTACTCAAGGGAATGGGCAAGGGTTTTGAGAAGAGCGGTGAACGTTTGGAACAGTTGCTAAATGAGCTGTCTAAGGACAAAGAAAAAGACTGATGGATAACCACGAATTTGTGGTGGCACCAAAAGGCAGGCGGGCAGGCACAGACAGGTTGACAGTAGAGTGAGAGGTAGGTGCAAGGTAAATCGAGTGTTTCAGAGATCCACCGTGAGAGCTAGGCTGGGTATTGAAAAGGAAGAGCTTGGAGTGGGGCAGATAGAGATAATGGAGGAAATAAGGGACTTACGGGACTCAAGTTTACGTAAAAGAGCTGGGAGAATGGGGGATTGTGGTGGTTAGAAAGCTGAGTGATGTGAATATTCTGGGTAATTCTTGAAGACTTTGAGATGCGAAGCACCCTGATTAGGATGTCCACCCAAATGGTGAGGATAATGACAGAAACTGGGGAGAAGAGGAGCCAAAAGTTGTCCAAGAATCAAAGAATGAAAGAGAGTGATTGGAAGGTGAAAAGATGACAGCAATGAAGAGGGCTATAAAAGTGCAGCAATGAGATATTGTGTGCTTCAAGTGAACAGGAACCTTTATCTGAAGGGACAAGAGGTATCTGGCTGGAGACATTTGGGAGGGAACCTCCACTTAAAAGGGCTGCAAAGAAGGTGGTGTCCTAAGGTGAGAACCAAATTATAGTAAAGACCAATAAAAAAGATAGAGGGGGTTTGTCTTTCAAAGAAAAGGTGTCCAGAGAGCATGGCAGAAATGATGGGACAGAGTACCAAGAGTAAAGAGCCCTGGGGAGCCAGATGACACAGCGAACTCTCATTTAGGGGGGTGACATAGGTTAACAGGAGTATGAAGTTCGTAGAATTCGCCAGACTCAAAGATTCAAATAGAGTTCTAGTTTAAAACCCCCTTCAAGTCCACTTAGGCCGTGCAAAAGGACCGGTGGTGTGGGCTGCTGGTACCTGGACAGACCTAGAGGGGCTGGAAAACTCCTCCAGAGACGAACAGACCTAGAGGGGCTGGAAAACTCCTCCAGAGAGATGATGATGTTTTGGTATCATCATTAGGATGCATGGATTTAAAAATATTTCATGAATTTGGTTCCATTATATTTATTATCCTAATTAATGCTTAAAACGTCCCAGTGGGGCTGGCCGAGTGGCGCGTTGGTTAAGAGTTGGCTTGGGACACCAGCTCTGAGCAGCAGGGCCCTGGTTCAGATCCCACATGAGGGGCAGTGACGCTGCACCTTCTACAGCTAAGATGGTGAATAACAGCTTGACCTGGAGCTGGGCTGCCGTGAGTTGCCGGCAACAGCAGCTAGTGTGAGCTTTCATGAGCTGCCGTCCAATGGCCGGCGACCAAACTGCCTCACCTGGGAAGAGCGCAATGATAATACCAACATGGGCCAGTGAAGCGACGTCCTCCACAACTAGACTGAAGAACAAAAGGACAGCAACTTGTCTGTTCCCCTTCCCCCAATTCCCCAATAAAATCTTGAAAAATAAAAGTCCCATTGTTAGTCAGCAGAAGTCTTTAAGTTAATATGAGTATTTTAAACCTAATTCTAATTATCCGATAGTATCCTTGCTCTCTCATATGACAAGATGATCCAGGCTGAATTTGTACACTTCCTTCTTCAGACCCAAACCAGCCATTTCTTCTTTCTTTCTCTTTCTCTTTCTCTTTCCCTTTCCCTTTCCCTTTCTCTCTCTCTCTCTCTCTCTCTCTCTCTCTCCTTCCTTCCTTCTTCTTTTTCTTTCTTTCTCTTTCTCTTTCCCTTTCTTTCTCTTTTTCTTTCTCTCTTCCTTCCTTCCTTTCTTTTTCTTTCTTCTTTCTCTTTCTTTCTCTTTCTCTCTCTCTCCTTCCTTCCTTTTTCTTTTTCTTCTTTCTTTTTCTTTCTCTTTCCCTTTCTCTTTCTCTCTCTCTCTCTCCTTCCTTCCTTTTTCTTTTTCTTCTTTCTTTTTCTTTCTTTCTTTCTTTCTCTTTCCCTTTCTCTTTCTTTCTCTTTTTCTTTCTCTCTCTCCTTCCTTCCTTCCTTTCTTTTTTTCTTTCTTTCTCTCTCTTTCTTTCTCTTTCTCTCTCTCTCCTTCCTTCCTTTTTTTCTTCTTTCTTTCTTTTTCTTTCTTTCTCTTTCTTCTCTCCCCCCCCTTCTCTTTTTCTTTCTTTCTTTCTTTCTTTCTTTCTTTCTTTCTTTCTTTCTTTCTTTCTTTCTTTCTTTCTTTCTTTCTTTCCTTTCTTTCTTTCAAGATTTTATTGGGGAATTGGGGGAGGGGAACAGCGTTGGGAAATCGAGGAAGGAAAACAGACAAGTTGCTGTCCTTTTGTTCTTCAGTCTAGTTGTGGATGACGTCGCTTCACTGGCCCATGTTGGTATTATCATTGTGCTCTTCCCGGGTGAGGCAGTTGCTCGCCGCTCATTGGACGGCTGCTCACAGCAGCTCACGCCGGCTGCTAGCCAGCCCCACTGCAGCCTACGCCATCGCCGGCGACTCACAGCAGCCCAGCTCCAGGTGAAGCTGTTTTTCACCATCTTAGCTGTAGAGGGTGCAGTGTCACTGGCCAGCATGTGGGATCCAAACCGGCGGCCCTGCTGGTCAGAGCTGGCGTCCCAAGCCAACTCTTAACCAACGCACCACTCGGCCGGCCTGCAAACCAGCCAGTTCTGAGTCCTATTTCTTCACCTTTCCAGTTGACAGAGCTGACATGGGTATACAAAACTCTATCTTATCTATCTATCAT